GCTCAGTAGCCTGATGATGTCGTTGGATAAGGAAAAGCTGATTCTCTGGAGAAGAACCTGCCAAGGCTGTAGGAGATCTGCTTTTAATTCTCCACTTTGATTCAGGTTTCTTCTTTGTCCTTGGGCAAGTCACTTAATCCCTCACCTTATCTTTTTTTTAGATGGAAATGAGCAAGCTGGACATTTCCATGCATCACAAGAAACTGAATTTGACATCGAAGATGTTCAAATAAGGCTTGTCTAAAGCTAATGCATTACAGACAAAAAAACCCTCAGTAATAATAATTAAAAAATCCATCACGTTAAGTGAATTTGAATGATATTTTGATCTTTGCATTCACTTTCTGTGAAATGAATTGATTAATGTTGGCAATAGATACTGAGATTTTTCAGATAGGTTTCTCCTGAAGAGATAAGGCTGGCACAAATTTTAAAAAGGATTATTAATGGGAAGTGCCTGAATCGAAATGATTCCTGTCAAATCTGTATCTTGGGATCCTTTTCTAGCATTGACGAAATCTGTGAGGCAGTCATGTAAGCAGTGCTTTGTGCTAGCGCGTGATGAACTAGAGGTAACCTCAAATGCTTCTGAAGGCACTGTCACGCAATAACTTCTGTATTGCCTAGCTTCCTGCCAAGAAAGAGCACGATAATTAACACACTCTTTTCTGAATGCTGGCATAGGACTGTCCCTGAATGATGTCTCCATGACTCTCTAAACCCAACAAATATCTGTATTTTTTCTGAGGAATATAATAGTGCAGCCAGGGAGATTTTATACAGTGAATTCAGAAGAGCTTCTCTAAAAGAGTAGTAGGGACATCCTGAATAAGGGAAAGCTTTCAAGCTTTCTTTCAGCTTTCCTTAGATAGCTTTATTGTTCAATGCTGATGGGCCCCAAAAGATTTGATGTGATGTGCTGCAGAAATTAATGTCTGCATATCTCAAACCCAATGAGATGGATCTTCTCGTCATCAGGTAACGGCACAGACGACATTTCCCAGTACTACTTCTAGGCCAAGACTTTGCTTTAGCTGTCGTGTTTCTGTGGTGAATTTCCCCAAAATCTTTAGATTTCTGTGTCTACATGAACAAACTGAGCACCATGTATGTATTAAACTCTTCAATTCTAGGAAGCGCTGTGCTTACTGTAAACAGACTGGCTGTTGATTCGAGCATGTGCAGACACCCATCTGCTTCCATCAAGCCTTCTATGCTGCGCCTGCGTAGAAAATCTGCAAGTTTTGAGAAGCTTTAGTATGTGAATGCTCTTCTGCTGGTCTGTATCTGTAGAAACATATAGAATTTAAAGATATTTGTCTGCCTGGTAAGAAGCCCTATGCATTGGCTTCTGCTAGTTCTCCAGATACTCTGAACACATGAATACAAGCAGAGTTCCCCTTCCCCAGCACAGAGAATGTGACTTTAAGGCAATAGATGCCATTTCTGAGGGGAATCTGAATTTACATCAGCTTTCTTAATGCTGACAGAAGCTGTTTTTCTTATGGCGTTGGAAGAAAGGGTGAAGAATTTAAGCCCCTAAAGATGGTTTTGCATTTAGGGCCAGTGGGAGAAGGATCTGGTCACCCGTGATGGTTTTATTTAGCATCTCAACAAACGCAAAGTGGATGCTTATTCCTTACAAGCACACGCAGTTAGCAGGGTGTGGTGTGTGATCTAATATATTATCTTGTCCTGTGACCCTCTGTAGTCCTTCCCTACTGCAAGTGCACAAGACTGGATGTAGCCCCATTTGTGTTTTAATTGGCAGACTGCCTCTGAAAAGCGTGTTACTTGTTGCCACTCATGATGGAAAAGTATGACTGATTAGTATATATTTTCCTTTGGGAGAAGTTTGAACTTTAGTAACTGTAAGGAGTGAGAAAATTAAAGTATCTAAATAAATGTCCTAGCTTGGAAATATTAGTGTAAGAGCAGTACTTTCTCATGCCAGTAAAATGAGCTGATTCTTTTAAAAACTTTCTATAAGTGCCATAATTTTCTTACGAAATTCTCAATTATAAAGAATGTTTACTCTTGTCTTGTTTTATGTGACTGTGATATTCTGTTTGAATTTCTTTTCCAAGTATAGAGTAATGAATATAGAAGTATTGCATTTGCCCTTGTAATCTCATTTGTACAGTTGAAGTGAAAAATGTTCTGTAATACTGCAGAAGCAATGTTATTTGGTTTGTGACATTGCCTCATTTGGTCATTTACCCTGATTTTGAAAAATGGCCAAGAACGTTAAAAACAAACAAACAAAACCCACAAAAAACCCCCAACAAAACAAAAAAATCCCCAACACCATTTTATGTGCACTGAGTATTTGCACTACCACCATCACATCCCACTTTCGAAACCATGAGTTTTGCTCTCAAGCTTGGTTTTGGTTTCGGTTTTGGCTTTTTTTTTTTTTTTTTTTTTCAATCAGAAAAAGCTATTTTTCCTCCTCCTGGATTTTTGATGTTGGCTATTTCCAAAATTCCTAATTTCCATCTTTGCTAGAAGGAAATCTACTTCCTTCAACTTATGATCACAAAGAAGCTGAGGGAAGAAAGTAAAGTTCTTTACAAGAGTTAGTGGAAACTTTTATAGCACACTGAAGTCACTGTCTTATCTTGTACATCACTTTACAGCTACAAAGACTTGAGATGCCAGCATGGCACTTCATGATCTCTAGAAAATCCCCTGCCCCAGATCTTCCACTGACAGGCAGACAATTAGTATTTTCAGAGTGCTGCTAACTTGTTAAAGTTGTTTAGCAAATGTTGAAGTAGTGTGTGCGCTACAAGTCATAGATGTATTAAAGTTTTCAATACAACAGTAGTTCAGTCTGCTTGGCAACAGTCAAGAATTTTCTGTCTAAAATAACATGAATGGCAAAATCTATTCATTGAAGAAGGCTGGTGAAAGATTTGCAAAGGGCTGGTTTAGCATGTAAAAACAGCTGGGATTGTTCAGTCATTTTCTCAAATTTACGTGGTATTAGTATACTACACACAGAAGTGCTCTTCGAAGTCCTGCTAAACAGTTGCCTAATCTTTGGGTTTAGATGTCATTGTAAGTCTGGACATCAGTTTGAACCTTTTGTGTAAGTGGAACCAGGGTTACTCAGAAAATGAAATAGCAGATGGAAATCTAAAGTTATAAACTTTCTGCTGCCATGCATTGACTCAGGAATTGTTTGAAGGTCACTGTTTTGTACGAGGCAAAGCTGGGTGAACTTGTGCTGATCTGTGGCTGATGAATTTGCTTTTGTTCCACCCCTGCCCCTTTTTTGGTCTTCACTAGAAGCCTGACTTAGTGAGCACATAACAGCTAGTTTGTCCCTTTAAACATAAGCACGATGGAGTCAGTGTGTGTGTGTTCGTAGGCAGTTCGCTAATATTATTTGTTGATTTTAAAAGAAAAGCAAACTGAGTTGGATTGGTGTGGGTGCAGTACCAGGGGAAGATTTTCTTAGGTGTGTCTGTGCTTCCAGGTACTCCCTTATCTCCAATCCATATACTCTGCTGTTTCTCCCGTAACTGCCTGAATTGCCCCCTTCTTTCTAGTCCCAAGAACTTTCCTTACCCTGGTTTCACTCCCAGCGATCTGACTGTGCAGAAGCTAAGAACCTGTGTTCAAGAATGACTGCTCTAGAGGATTGCTGGTTACGCACGATCAGTTTATATACATGAAAATAGACTTTAATCATCCTGGACTGACTTTGCAGTACAAAGATACCTCCAAGCCACAACTCTCCTCCAAGTCACTGCCTGTTGAAACCAGGAAGGTGTTAGGAAAAAAAAAAATTACTGCTGCCCTTTCAGACCAAGAAATATGAGAGAAAAGTCAGAGGAAAGTCAGGGCATTACCTTCTCCATGGCCGTATACATATTACCACGGGGAATGCCCAGACACTGTGTAAAAGCCACGTAGTTTTAACTCCTCTCAGAATATGGGAAGGAGCATTTTATTTCTCCTCATACTACTCTAGCTGAATACAGACAAGGCACAACTTAAGTACGAATGAAGATTTTGCTTTTTTCTATTAAAGGGGGTTTTGCTGCAAATCCAATAACAGGCCACCAGAAAGATCAGCCTACTGAAGATTGATCTAGATGTTGTAGCAGTGCACTAATGATGTGATCAATTGGACTCTGCTGTGCAGAAACCGAATTGTCTCTTTGTTCCTATCTATTGCTAACAAATACAACAATGACTGCAGGCTCCAGTCGCTCTTGGAAGAAATGGAAATTTTGCTGGTTGAAATTCATGGACTTTTCATCCTA